GTATAGAACAATTCTAGGAGGTGGGCGCATTTAAATTCCAACTTTACTTATTTTGGACCGCCCTAATGTAAATACAAATACGTACATATGTACATACATACATACATATTTATAAAAAGAAATTAGTACATAACAGAACATAAAAAAAAAGGAATCATTTTCTGGCACAAAAACGGATTTTAAGTTTTTTTTATAAAATTAATGAGCTAAAATAAAAACAAAATAATAATACAAAAATGCAATTTTTATATTTTAAAAAACTCTGTAAAATTCTGGCAATTCCGGAAACTCCTCATTATCTTCATACCCCTCTTCTTCCAGTGTTTCGCTCTTATTTGTCACGAAAGGTAAATATCGCATCGAAACCAAACAGAACGCCATTGACAATGGCTAGTGAGGCCTTAATAAGCGCCAAATCGCGTGTACGTGTACGAAATGAGAATTCCCAAGCCTCGATTATGAACACACCCGAGGCGATGAAGAGGCCACAGCCTAGCACACTGTAGAATATGTCGATGCGTCTGTGAATGGGCGCACGCATTAGGACACCTGTTGACAAATTTAAATGTAAATTTTACATAACTATTTGGTTTTTTTCTTTTATTTTTATATATTTTTTTTTGTTGCATGCAGTTAGTGGTTCATTGTCAAGTTTGTATTACTACTTTATTTGGCATGCAAAATTACAACGTACACACCTGCAAAAATACCCACAACAACAATTATGTATCCTGAAAATGTGCCCGTCGCCACGAATGAGGTCAGTATGTCACGGTCGTCGAAGCTGTAGAAATGTAATGCCAGGCAGGCAGCGGAAAAGCCCTAAAAGAAATGGGTCATACGTGTAGTGTGAGTACTTTGTTTAATTAATGTTGCTTTGTGTATTGAAGTTTAAATAATAGTGGACTTGTTGTCCTTAGATATATGTTCATTGGTGTGGTCCTTAAAATCAAACGAACGATTTTTTTCAATCTTACCCCCTCAATCGGGACCAAAATTTATATGTGATATCTTCGACTTTTGGTAGTACCGATTTTGGGTATTAGATGAAAAAAATAATAATTTAAATTTTTTGAGTCTCCGTAGAGGAATCTGAACTCTGCCCCCTGTGCGATACGCCTTAACCGTCTCCAATCGGGACCACAATTTATATGTGATATCGTCGATGATAGTAGCATCGACGTAGGGGTTTAGGCTTAGGAAATCTGATGTAAAAGTTTGCTTCCTACATTTCAGGACCACCCTAATGCACATACATATCTGGTTTCACTCTTAATTAAATGAAGGAGTGTTTTTTAGGTTGGGCAAGGATGGGATTGTGCAAAAGTCAAAATTTCCTTGATTAANGTGACGTGTCATGTCAAAACTCTGTTTCCTTAAACCAATTCACTGGTTTAATGTGGTTGAACCTGAGGCGTTCTGATGTTTTCCTATCAAGATACATATATCCCATGAGCAAGCCAGCGCCCAATGCCTGGTCTTAATGGGGCTTAAATTAGCGGAACATAAAACAGAGGTGGTTCTATTAACAGGAAGAAAACCCCGCGAGGCACACACGCTACCATAAACTATTTAGGAGGCATTATTATTCACCTACATATCGACTGCCGAGTGGAAGATCGACCTATCTCGGCAGCCAGTTCGAAAACGCCCTATCTCAAAAAACTTTTCAAAAACGTCCTATTTCAGAATTCGTTTCAAAATGCCCTATCTCAGCTGCTGATTCAAAAACGCCCTATATCAGCAAATTTTCAGTACATTTTGAAGTGAGATAGGGCATTTTTGAATCGTATTCTGAAATAGGGCGTTCTTCATCCAAATTCTGAGATAGTTTTTTTCAATAAAATTCTGAAATAGGGCGTTCATGAAAAATTTTCTGCGACAAAATTACAACACTGTCATATTATTTGAGCTGGCAATCGTTGCAAAGTCAAAGTCGCGAAACATATGTTTTCTTATTGTCCTCGAATACTTCAAGAAAAAATATATCAATTAAGGCAGCGTAGTGCAAATTCAGCATTATCCCAGCTTAAAAAAAGGGTTAAATTTGTTTCGAAATTTTATTTTTTTAATCACAAATGAGAAAACAATGTACATAGCTGACGTGCACAGACTTCTTTTCAATTTTAGAAAAAATGTTCTCTGAAAAGAGTAATTTTATTTAAGGAGTGAAAAATTTTTATATTGTAATACTTATTAGTCATAATTATACCCGAGCGCACTTGTGCACAAGGGTATTATAACTTTGT